AGAGAGAGAGAGAGAGAGAGAGAGAGAGAGAGAGAGAGAGAGAGAGAGAGAGAGAGAGAGAGAGAGAGGAATTGACTTCCTTCTGGCTTGGCTTGGTCTGGGTGTTCGCAGGTATTGTCTGGCAGTCCTTTGCGAGCAGGGAAAGGATCCGAACGGGGAAAACCGGTCGTTGGACTTGTGCTCAGATGATCAGGTGGTGCTGGTAGACAGAGCCCTGCGTTTCCGGGAAATTATTCACTGCCAAGCAATCGGTAAAGCGGCAAAGTTAGCCCAGGAGGGACTTCAGAGGGAGGGTTTGTTGAAGGTAGGGAATGTCAAATCGAAGACTTCAGTAAGTTCTGACGGAAGTTTGGGAGGTAGATCTGCCAGTTCCTTTGCCCGACCACTTGCAAGGAAAGGACACCCATCAGTGAGCATGGCTGGCGGATCTGCCGGGTCTCGTAATCCCACGAGGAGAACTGGGAAGGACTCCAGCAGCTTTGAGCGCGCTAACGGTGTGGGTAAAAGTGCATGGGGAGGTCCAGGAGTTGGCGTTCGCAAAATGCCGGCACACAAGACGAGCACGAAGGCGACCGAGTTATCGGACGCAATCCTTGCGGGAAATCGACCGGTGACAACTGCTGCACGCAAGATTGTAAGTTTTTTTTCTCGGCGTTTTGGCTAAGTAAGATCAAGTGTAGTATCTGTTCTGATCAGTTTAATATCTTTTTTTTTTTTTTTAATTTTATAAAACTGCCTTCTCCTCGTCGGGGGACAGCCATATATTATTCTCTGAGCTCACATCTCTCTCTTTTAACTGGAGTTCTGCCATGTCGTGGAACATATCTTTCTTTTCACTGCCTACCACTACTCCTAAGGCTATACAGGGAACCCTTGCAAGCATAGCGTTCTACCTCTTCGGTGAAGAGAGGTTACCTCTCTCGGTGGAGAGGGGTAAAGGCATGTTTGATCCGTGGTCCATCGGACCAACAGAAAAAAAAAAAAAAAAAACAGTTTTCGCCTTCCTTCTTCCTGCAGTTGGAGAGATTCACAGCCGTAGGGCCTCGCTCCACTTCCCAACGTCTTAAGTGCATCTCAAAATTTTCTTTCGTTCGGAATGTATCTGGACCATAGACAGTTCGGATACTGCTCAAATGGTGAGTCGAGGAGCGAGGCCCTTAGGTGTAAACTCTTCGTTGTTTCCTGTCTTTCGGATTCCCCGCTCATGTCCTTCGGTACATCCGCTGAAACTGGAATGATACAGAGAAGAATAGCATGGCCCCTGCGCAAGGATAACACGCATAAATCGAGAAATGGTCTGAACTTTCCAAAAAAAGAAGAGGAAAAAAGTATTCCCCCCTCATATAATAAGCGTCTTGTGTTGGATGTGCCACGGGTTCTTCGATTTGTACGTCTAGTTTCAGATGGAGACAGACACATCCTGAAGACCTTCCGCTCATTCACCAGACGCATCAATAATATACTTTCCGTGCAGTCGACTAGACACCGAGCTGAGCGGACACGTGTGCGAAGTTGAACCGAAACCAAAGAGTTTATTAACTTGGGAAAGAGAAGACGGCAATCCCACATTCGCAGTCAGACATAGCTGACTCTCATCGCTGTCAGTATGCGAATCGCCTCCTACCTAGTATCCTACTCTTCGTCAATAGCCAAGCGGAGCACCCCGCCTTTCCTAGCGCTGTTCGACTATTGTCAATATGCGCGCGCACGCGTCGCCTCCTCTCCCGTCGCGGCTTGCTAAATTCTAAATTTCGTTCATCCGTGGGGCAGATCAGGACGAAAAGGGGCTACCGTCTTCACCCGAATAGAACCGCCCGGTCATTATAGCTGCACTTGGCCCAACATGCAGTCCAGAGATGCAGGGCGTTCTATTCGGGTGAAGACGGTAGCTTGCCGTACGATTTCACTTAGGTGAGGATTTCGACCATTGTGTCGGTCATACGTACGGAGCTGTTGATGTTGAGTAGCGTCCACGCAGCTGTTGATTTTGAGTACCGTCTCTGCTGAGCTGTGTTTTGCTGAGAGTGCACACACAGTGGTTTTGCCCAAGCAAGTAGACGTTCTTTTTGCTACTTTCTTAACAGGCAGATGACGCTTGTAAGTTCTACGAATGGCCACATAGATTCTTTCCAAGTGTTTCTCTCAAAGCGCACATGAGAACACATACACAGGAGGATTATTTCCAAGTGTCTCTTTTCACAGCGCACTTGAGAACGTATACACGGAGGCAACGAGTGTGTTGTGATAGGATGCATAGAGTGTTGATGATAAGAGAAGAACAAGGGGATGTGAGCCGTTTCCTCGACTGCTTTCCTCTGGGACTTTGTCCTTCGTGCTCAACAGCTACTCTCTGAAAACGTATGCATGCTCACTCTTTCTCGTGCTCTTCTGTTTGGTGTTTATTGTTCTTGTGTTTTTCAGAGTGACAAAGAGAATCAAGGCCCAAGGTCTGCAGCAGTGGCCACATCTCGACGGATACATAAGAGCGACGGACCCGTTACAGCACCACTGAGCCCGCTCGAGCTGGCGAGGACGCGATCAGGAGTGTAAAATTTTCAGAGTATCGAATGGTCACAATGCATTCATCAATTGCCAAGTAGCGTCGGAGCTACAGGAGTCTCACTAGGCCGAAGTGGTCTTTCTGGGGCCAGAGGGATCGTCGTGGAACCAGAGGGGTCGTAGTGGGGCGACAGGGGTGGTACTGCGGCCCCACGCACAGAGAACGTAGTACTGGGGCTACATCAGCTGGATCAGGATGCGCTGCAGCTGCAACCGGGAAAAGTATGCAACAAAAGAGTCCCAAACGCAGCCGGCGAACGAAGTGCCAGTTAGTACCCGTGAACGGAGGGTTCACCTGTACTCAGAAGATGGACCCGATTGACAGAAACGCGCTGGCTATGTGCTTCTCGCACACGTGACATGAGGTTACGGAGGTCGCTTGAACGGTTTCGCCGTAAGTGGATTCTATATGCGCGCCGACATCAGGCCAGGTTGTTTGTAACAGTTCCGCCACCACACAAAGGGCTGACAGTGACGCCATGCTGCCTTCTGTGACGTTGAGTGAGGTACGGTGAATGAATTGTGCTTTATTCTTAAGAGGTAGTTGGTGTTGTAGGTGCGCTCGCCCCACCAGCGAGTGACTGGTCGTCGGCGACGCTCTCCTCGGCTGTTGGCTCGGACGTGAATACTGCTCCTTCTGTATCCGGCATTGCTTGTTAACGCTCCGGGCTGTGTTTTCTGTGATGATCATCATGAGTTGAGATTTTCCGATGCCAGAATGCTCTGTTCTGTGCTTGTACCAAATCTGACTGACTAAGCTTCCCTCCAGTGTGTGCTCTCGATCTGCATGCCTCCCTATTAGATTCCATGTATTACCTTAATAAAGCCCTTTGGTCCCCTGTGCACAGTCCTTCATTCTCCGAAGTGTTACGATGGATGATATCTAACGATACGGTTCGAACTCGTGTAAGCAACGGTTCGAGCCCCCTGCGCACAGTCCTTTGTGCCCTGGGTGTTTACGATGGATGAGATCTGACGGTCCGGTTCGAACTTGTAACCAACGGTTTGAGCCTGGCCTTCATGGGTATAGCTCTGTGGATAGAAATCTGATTCGTTTTAGTAAACGTTATAGTTAATATGGTATTAGAAAGAGAACAGTGCAAAGTGAATTTGGTTTCACACATAAGTGGATCGGTGCAAGGTTGTCCTGAACGTTGCACAGTTTAAAAATACATCCTGGCCGTTGACGTTACGGTAGCTTGTATTGTAGGCTGATCATCTTACAGTGCGCATCCTTTTTGCTGGGATGTGAGGCAGCCCCATGGCCGTGGCAGTTCGTCTGATGAACTGCCCGCTTTGCTTCTAGCAAGGGCTTGCGACGCTTTAGCGGAACGAGGAGAGTGCGGGTTTGTTGTGGTGTGTGTGCTTCGCTCCGTGGAGCTTTGATTTTCTAACCTGCCTGCTTACTCCCCCTCGTACAGGATCTCCGAGGGAGTCGATGGCGCTGGGCTCCGGGGAGCTATGATGGAATTGACGCCCGAGCTGTTGTAGAAGAAAGCACTTGAATCTCGAGTTATTAGATCCGTTAGTGGAGGCAAAAGGTAAGAACTGCGAGTGGTGCTCAGAGTAGACTTTCAGAAAGGATTAGCCTTCATTGGATATCTCCATTAGATGATGCTATACTTTTGCGTTCGCGTCTCGACTTTTCAGCCCCCGAGTAAGAACTCGGGGGCTGGCTTTTTGTTTGGGAAGGCCTCTGGGTCGTCAATTTGAGGTTTGGCGCCCAGGGCTTTTTAGCATGTGTGGTGGTGGGTTTCAAAGAATTAGTGCTCATCTCTTTAGGTTTGTATGGAAACAGCGCTCTCTTATGAATCTGTAGTCGTTCCGATCGTCTGGTTATTTTAGGAAGATGCTCGCTCGCATGTTTCGTATGACAGCAGATTTTTGTCAAGGTTTTATTTATTTCTTCTCGGATTGAGTGCCGCTGTGTGGAAGAAAGGCCTCTCTCAATTGAGTACACAGCTGCAGAGAGGGTTCTTTTTTTTTGGGGGGGGGGAGGGGGGGGGGGGAGGGGGACGGATGGAAGGAAGGGTTTTGTTTGCATCATGTTGTCCATTCATTTTGTTTCATATTTAATTTACAAGTTAATTTCTTGCCAAGAGTTCAATTTTCCTTTCTTATTGCAAGTTAATTTATTGCCGAGAGTTTTATTTTTCTTTCTGATTGCGTGTTAGGTTCTTTCCAAGAGTTTTATTTTTCATTCTTATTGCAAATTAGTTTCTTATTGCAAGTTAATTTATCGCCCAGAGTTTTATTTATTTATTGCCCAGAGTTTTATTTTTCTTTCTTATTGCGTGTTAGGTTCTTACCAAGAGTTTCATTTTTCCTTCTTATTGCAAAATAGTTTCTTGCAGAGAGCGGTCCTTCGGGACATCCGTTAATATTGGAACGATACAGAGAAGGGTAAATTAGCAAATGGCCCCTGCGCTTTCAAGGATGACACGCATAAATCGAGAAATGGTCCAAATTTTTATTAAAAAAAAAAAAAGTTTCTTGCAGAGAGTTTGATGCCCGAGCGGAAGCTATGTTGTTCAAGTGAATGCCGCTGTGTACTTGGACGATCAGCTCTTGCGGGTGTTTGTGCATTCCTTTTTTCTTAATTTTTGGAAAAAGAGGACTGATTGGTCCGAGGTAAATTCGCAGTTAATTGGTGTACCAGCTGACTCCATCTGCGCAGGTAAATTTCACTCGTCTGATTCCATCTGGATTCGAACTGAGGTTTGTTTGTGAACAGTTTTAACTGGGGGTACCATTCAACTTCATGGGCTGGGGTGGTGTTTCTCCATCCCTTCCTTATTTCAAGTTATTTGTGCATTCCAATCCTTTCATGTGACAAGCAGTCCTCTCACGATTTCGGTGATCAATCGTGTTGTCTGCATACTTGCAACCGAACAGTGCGTCGTGCCGTCCGGTGTGCCGCACTGCGTGCAGCACGACACCTGCTCGTGCGCCGCACCAGCGGCAGTTTTCCATTTTTCTTGTTTTGTTTTTCGCTGTTTGTGTAGATACAGAAGAGTGCGACACCTAAGGAACTGATCTTTTTCAAGTACAGTCGTGCATATTTTTCCTCCCGCCCAATTGGGGATGAGAAATAGCCTCAAAAAGGTATCTGGGACATCAGTCTTGACGTTTAGGC